ATAAACAAAGACGGGAACGTGTTCGGCAGAGGGCGATGAGGCGGAAGGACTCGTAGATGTCTTCGTCGCGTGTCCTCCTCGTCCTGCTAATTACGCGTTAATCCTTCGTTCGAACGTTCCTGGTCGCGAGCCCGTAAAGCCAGGATTATGGTCGTAGCAAAAGGATTATAACAGTGTTCTTGATCCGTAAGAGCTGAGCAGGTGTCGCGTCCTTCGTCATCCAGGACACAATCTCCTCGTCTTGTTCCAGAAGTATCTACTAGAAATTTGTCACCGTTTTCTCGACGTTCCTTTAACTCGTTCCAATGGGTCCCAATATTTTCAATCTGACGACTAGAAAATTTCAACTTCACATATAACACTTATTAAGTACCGGAAATATTTATTGCAGCATCTGCAAATGCATTTAATGTATATACAAAATATACACAGTATTCGTAATTCTATAATTGGTAAATTGATTTATATTCAATTTGTGATAGCCTAGACATCAAACTATTTGTTTTTATTTGTCAAACGTGTAATAATACTTTTTCATTCTAATATCAGTCGAACTGTAAGTGATAAGTGATAATATGTTAAACATCCAAGTGATGCAATAATATTTTTGCTGTTTCGTGGATACACTTTTAGACAAATTGTTAATTTTGGAGAAATTTGCGAACGAATGTTACTTTGTCTTGATTTTTTAAAAATTAGTTATTTGTTTTCACATACAAGGGTTAGCTCTGCATTCTGTTAGGGTTATTCGCGTCGCGTTATCAGTAGAAATGATTGATTATCATCCTCCAGGCTTTGGAAAAGCTTCATCTGTTTCAAAAATGAAGAACTGCAATCCTTTAGAGAGTTTTATATACTCTATTATAGATGTAAAATTAATATTAAAGCCGAACAGATCGAAAGAAATCGATATTCGTTAAAATGAAGTATAAGATGGTCTACAATAATCAGGATTGATATTTCAATTCAATTCTGCTTTGAGAAAAAGTAAATTTTTCTCTTATTTAAGAAAAAACCTTAATTCCGAAATCATGTTTAATAAAAGATTACCGTTTCAATTTGATTCTGTCTCAAATTTGACAGCAACCACCATTGCTATAACGTCTCCAACGTTAATTCAAATTCGACAATCGCAACAGAAAGTTGTTTTTAAAGTTTTGAAACCATATACAAATGAATCTCTCTATTGAAATCAGTTTAAATAAAAGAGTATTTGATTTGACATTATTACAAGGTGAAGTCACTTGTATAAGAAGTTCAGAATTTAACCCATTCACTGCCAGACCTTGGACGCCAAGATTTAATACAGATCTGTAATCTTGATTATTATTTGGTAATATAAAGTGATATTAAATTTGTTGTTTTAAAAAGAAAATTCACGATCTTCTTTTGTAATAATTCGAGACTCAAAAGGCTATAAACCTATTCCTTGAGTAATTACAATCAATTTCTACTACGAGACATCTCGTAGTTGGCAGTGAATGGGCTAATATTATAACTATTATTTTTTTAAATATAACGGTATGTAGAATATTGAAACATTCGTGTTTGCCACATATAGAATTTGTGTTTATGATTTTAAGTTAGCTACAGGAAGTTCGTCAAGTACTCCGAAATCTTCTAGTGTTGCTAGTTCGTCTTGACAAAAATGTCATCAAGTCGAAATAGTTAATAAATACATCAAATGCAAATGTGTCACTTTTTTATCCCAATTTTTACTAAAACTCCAATTGATTTTGATTAATAGCGTGGGCCACTAGAACATACCGATTCCGGAATAAATTACATCGGTGGACGCCACGATATCGGTCACAATTGACGCTCGGATAATTCGTCGTGGTTGGGAATCGCTTTATTGCGGACTGGTTCGCAAACAGTTCGGCCCGTAGCGTGATCAACCCCTTCAGTAATCATTAAAAAATTAAATAATGGAAAAAATAATACATTTTCTTTATGAATGAATTTTATTTACTGAACATATATGTCCCTCATAAAAGCCATTTCGGGTCAAAGATGAGACTGAAAGTTGATATATACTGTTTACTTTTTGTAACATTAATCCTTACACAAATATGTGAAAATAAAATTAAAAGAACTTGCATACAGTATACAAAAATTTACACAGGGGTTGACTATCTATAATCTGCGCTTCTACTTACTGTTATGTTTTATGTTTGGCATAACGAGAATTTTAAGGATCAACGAGTAACTTTAATGTATAATATTTGTACAATACAAATGTCAACAATAGTAACTAAATCTGTTCTTAGTTTCGGAACGTCAGGACTCAATGGCGTCTTGCTCGAATCTGACAGCTTGACAGGCGATCGATCCGATCGCCTTCTTCTCGCTGTCTTCTTGTTCCGGTCGCGAGTACCAGCAGGCATTGGATTCATCCAAAGGGTGCTCGCGACAATACCATAAATCGTATTTATTTTCACCCGAATATATATTCAGGAGTGATTTTTTCTGCAGGTAAAGCTTGCCCGAGTTATCTCGTGAGTAGGGTTTTCGGCACATAGTATCCTCCCGAGTATATTCGGGCGTGGTCCTTAAGCGGTTAATGGACGAGGGTGTTGGCGCGCACTTGAAATGAACCCGAGAAAAAAATACAAAGTTTCCACGTTCCACGGAGGGGGCTGTTTCGGCCAACGGTAGTTATTTAAACAATCGTCCGTAGCAATCGTTTCGCGTATGTGTACGCTAACAACGATTAAAACGGCCGACATAACGATTCCTCGGAGATAATTATATTTTCGCGTAGCGTTAGAACGTTCGTTGCATAAAGCTCGTCGAGACTTTTGATTCGCCCCCGGTGAAATATTAGCGAACAAGGTATTCTTTGACGAAAGGGGGAAGAGGAGGTGTACGGAGCCAGAGGAAAGAGAGATGCGGCACCTGGAAAGGAAAAGGAAACGGGAAACAAATTTTTTCGTAGCAAGCAGCGACTCTGTCGGTTCCCTATTTTATTTCCACCTCGCAACTACTCGACGTACCACGAAATTATTAAAGCGGTGGACCGTTCAAGCATCGCACAAGTGGCGTGCGCGCGCGCGGGCGCGTCAGAGTTTTTCCAGCGTGCTCGACCAACAAAATTTCGGCGTATCGCTGCGCCCAGAGGGGATGGACGGGAGGTGGGGGCAGGCGCCATTTTTTCCGAACCCTCCCGCCCCCGCCGGGTTGACCCTGAATTATTCAAGAACTCGAAGACCCGACGAGGACTTCATGAAAATTGCAGGCACCGTGATTGCCCGTGGTACCGCGAGGGTAAAAGACAGAGAAACGGAGACGGACGAAAGTTGTCGGGTAGGAAGTCAGAAAAGAGGAAGAAGGAGGGATGAACTTTTTTCAAATTTACCCCTTGGACGCTGATGATCGACGCCGTCGCGTCCTCTTTCAGCGACGCTTCGCTTTTTTAAACCGCGCACCACCGGCGCGCGAATGTGTGCGTTCTTCGCGAAATAGGGCGATTAAGTATGTCGCGGCTCGGGATGGAAACACTGAAACGAGCTTTGTCTATAATTCAGCGATAAACAGGGGCGGAGGGATGAACGCTCGAGAGGGCTGAGGGCGTGTTTGTTTGCAAAACCGAGCGACTGAAAGCCGGATAAACACGGCGTGGTTGCTACTGCGATCGTCTCTCTCAAGTTTAACCCCTTGCGCTCGATAGAATTGTTTCAACATGTTGTTCCTGCGAATCGACGGACGAAATGAAAATTTTCCAGGAACAATTTATGGTTACTTTCTCAGCGTGATACGAAAACGTGTAACTTTATTATCCGTGCACGAGTTTATGCATTTACAAAATGTACCAAGTTTCCATTATTTTCTAGTGTCGGCACAATTGACATTCCTAGTGGAAAAGATAGATACAGTCAGGCCCATAAGTATTCGTACCTTCTATGTTCATTAAAGAAGTTTGTCTAAATTAAATGATAGATACGATATTTCCAAATAAATTTTTCATTATAAATATAGACATGTGTAAAGTTTTAGATTTGTTTGGGAACACCAAACCTATCATTTAATTTAGACATTTTTCTTTAATAGGTATAGAGAATACGAATACTCATGGGACTGACTGTATTAAAAAATATTTTATCTTAATGTATTACTGCAAGTGAATCATGATAAGTTTATTAGAATTTAATTTAGAAGTACTGATTAAGAAAATCATCATTGGGAATGTTTGCTGAAAAATATAAGTGACGGTTTATGTTACTGTGAATTGAAACTCAACTTGAATAAAATACAATACATATCTCTAAGTTTTTAATATATATTATATAATGCAAGGCAAGTTATTTTCTAACATGTAATATTCAGAATCAATTTATATTATTAATAAATAAATAAGATACTCCACGAAGGTAGCAGTGCTCTGAATATCCAACAAATCAAAACTATAATGCTACCTTATTTAATGCAACGCGTTTTTATTTAAATATTTTGCAATGAGATGACTCCTAGTGTAAAGCACTACTCCAAGATCATTTTTTAATCATCCATGTATCCCTGAATCCTCTTTTGAAAAAAGAGTGTTTAATTTTCGTCAACGGGATTCGCGGAGTATAAAACCCAAGGGTCGAAGAAATATACCGAGTGACGTACAATCGATCAGTCGAAATCCCCTCGTGTCGCAGTCCTCTTAAACCCCTTAAACCCACCCACGGGTCGGTGGGCGGTATGTAAAGGGTGTGTTTAGAATCCAACAGGGGTTTTAGAGTGGCGCTCGCCAGGCGATTCGTAACAGTCGTCGCTACGTACTCGGCATAATGCGGGAATCGTGTCGCATTTCCGGAAGTCACCTACGCGGGATAAATGTTCGTTTGACGAGGCCCATGTTCCGACTGTTCGCCGAATTTTCCTCTCGTAAATTTCCCTCGTGATCGTTGCCCCGCGATTCCTCTTCGCTCGACGCGACGAAACTACCAGGGTTTAACTTTTCAAGAAAATAGAGGGGAGAGTATTTTTTTAACAAAATACTGTATATGTTCCAGCTCTATGAAGAAACTGGAAAGGGCTTCTAGCTGAAGTTACAAATCAGGACCACGGCTTATAAATAAAGTAAGTACACAGTAGATACTTTAAGTAAATATAAAATTTGATTCTTCTAAATTTTAACAATTTCGTCTTCTCTAATACTTTCAATTACTTAAATACCAGTTTTCAAAGAAGTCAACTGTAATAGGTGTTCATTGTTATTCCCTGAAAAGAAAGAATGTATTATATTATTTAAAATTGCACGAAGAGGTCTTGATATTGTAAAATATAAACAAAATAATGTTTTTTACAGTAACTGACATAACATGTACATGTAGCATGACAAAACTTACATTTTCATCATAATTTCTCTTACCATTTAGTAATTGTTTCCAACACACATATTTATAGATATTTCACATAATTTTAACGTCGCTATCGCTCTTTATATTCTTCTATATGATCTCGAGAACACTAATATTACTTTGTACCGAGGAAAAGCGAAACTCTGGGATTGAAACGTCTACGCTACTAAACTATGCTTGTGCAAACTATCATTTAACTTTAATTCGTGTTATAATAACGAATACGTGATTGTATTTCGTGTACGTTAGACTCGAGTTCAGGGCACTTTGCACAGCCGAGATATTCACGGGGGTTAAAGTTTAACGTTGAATACCGAATCTTGTCTGAACTCGAATGGGGAACAAGGGGGTGGTGGCCCTAGCCCAGCTCCCCCATGGGTAATAAAACAGCAATTTAATTCATACACTTGATAAACGCCGAGCTGACTTTGGGAAGCTGGCGAAAGTCAAACGAACAGAAGGGCTTATTTTGCAAATCATCGCCCCGCGGTAATAAAGCCTCCGGGAACGCGACGAAGAATGTCGAGAACAATGACGCGATGTTGACTCGAATCGCAACCAACTTGGTTATTCGCGCCTTTATTAATTTCATCCTTTTAAATATTGTTATCGCGACAAATCTATCTTTATTCATTCCCTCTACTTTCATTTCCAGGATACTTAGTCGGTAATTTTTTAAAAAATTCTTACTCAATTTAGCAAAATTATCTCCACTTTTTGTGGCAGACTCTTACAAGACACAATTACATTTATTTATGGATTATTAAGAAATTAATTTACTACTCAGGTGTTACTACTGTGCTTTTACTTTGCATAATATATTGTATGTCCGCAATGCAGCGTTTTCCAAACTGTGTTCTATACAAAATTGTAATTATTAACATAAGAAATGAATTTTGATATCCCTCCAACGTTAAAAATGTTAACGTAGTTTTTGTTCGTTTATTCGTGAACTAGTATAGGCTAATAATTATTATTGACGGTATTTGTTTAATGCTTTTTGCTTCGATTGGGACTCTCTTCGGAGTAACTGTTTGTAGAATTTAACTCTAATTGACATCAAATGTAAAATAACGAGGAACCAATTTACATTCTATTATAATTTTAATTTCTACAAAATGCATCCAACATTTTAAATGAATGCTCAAAGGCTATATACAATATGTCATCTTTAGCAGGTTAAAATGACATATTAATATTTACCATTGAGACATGACAACTAATCATTGCTTGCAATTCATTTATTTTGTAGTGTATATGTATTGCATTCTAGTCTTTTCAAACTAATTATAATTAACCTGTTCATTGTTGTTCATCTAATTTCACAATTTATTTATTAATAACTGCACTCATGAATATGTATGAATATTTAACGAAGAAATAAAAAATGTTACAAAACTATCCACAAAAGGGGAATGTTGTGTAATTACCCAGCACATACATAACATATTTCATTTTCATACAAATCGCAAATACTTGTATAAAAATATTCTTATAATATCATTGCACAATATTTATTGTAGATGACAATATTATTCTAGATGAATACCAATTTTATTAGGTAATTTGGAAAATAATCTCATTCCTTTTATCTTAAATTCAAACAAATCTTTAACAAATTTCTATGTATAATCAATTATGTAATCACCCTCGTTATCAACATCCTTTTGTCATCTAGTGAGCAAATTTTCAATGCCAGATCGATAAAAATGAACGAGTTGATGAACGATAAACAAGTAGTATTTAAAATTGCGAAAACCACATTATTTTCCAGTCCACCTAATATATATGTGCCTGATATTTTCTTCAACTTGGGCATCCGATAAAATAGTATTGTGATCGGCGGCCGAGTATATCAAAACGCAGCGGTGAAAAGGCTAAAGCGTTAAAGCATCGATAATCCCTCATGGTTATCATCGACAAGGGATCTTTAGGATAATTCAACTAGTGAACAATATGGCAACAGTAATACCTGTAACTACACGGAAGAATGTTCCGCGTTCAACAATAGACACAAAAGATTGCACTGTTATTTGCACCACCCCTGGGCGCAAGTAATTTATTGCTACTTATTTACTGCTCGGAATGGGGATCATAGCGATTCGGCGATTCGGCGATTCTCGATGATCCTCTCTGTGAATCGGTAACCGTGCGTCCCGTCGAGGCGCAAATTGAGAACCCGTGGCACCGGGTCCGGCTGGGCTGCTTGGCAGAGGGGTTGTAAACGAAGGTGAAGGGGGTTTTTCAGGGGTGCCCGTAGGGTGGTTAGTGGCATTCATCGCGATGCAGATGGCTTCCGCCCCTCACGCCGGACGGAGCAAGACCCACGTTACGGAGGAAGCGAGATGGAAACAGAGGCTGGATGCTGCTCGTACGTGAACGCACTTTTTCCCGCGTCTCTGCGCTCTCGTTCCCTCTATCTTGCTCTTCTTTCTCGTCTACTGTCCGTTTCTCCTCTTCGACAGGGGTGGGCAAAATTATTAGGCTGCGTAATAATTCCGTTCGCGTCGACGGCGATACGCATTTCGAGAAGTGTCGTTTTGACAAACTGAAATAAGACACGTTGTAATTGATCGATTGTTCTATTTTCTATTTTACTTGGAAGTAGATCCTTTAACATTATATATGAAATGTAATTTCAACCAAATGGTCGCCATGGTTCTAGATAATACATCCTGATGGTTTAATTTTCGATGATATTCGCGAATAGATGAGACTCAACTTTACCAATGATGCGAGTACTGGTGGTTCTTAAGTTGTCAATCGCTCGGGCTATATTGGCATAAACTAAACATTTAATGTAGTCTTAGAGAAAATAGTTTAAACGTTTTACGATTGTATGATGTTTTAGTTATTTATATTGGTTATATAAGAGATTAAACTTAACCCTTAAACGCCCCAAGTTTCAAATTTGGTACCGGACTTTTAAATCCAATTGTATACTTGCAATTGGTTTGTTTTTAATATTTGGCTGTATGCATGTTACCATTGCATAATGTTCTTTTGGACAAAAGTTAACAAAATAAACGTCAGCTGTCAAAATTGTTCAAATAATAAATACATCGATAGTTTCTTAAATTTAATTTAGAATATTAGGCTTCTAAGGGTTCAAGTATTTAATGATTAGTCGTGTTGTTCTCATGTAAACAATAGTCTTTTTGAGAAACAACATTATTAAACATATTTAATTTGTATTCCAGGGTTTATTAACCAAACTAGATACAATATTTAAAAGTGTATGTACATAGGTATATGCTCCAAAATATGTATAGTATATCTATACATAAATATATTTGTTTTGTGGAGAATTTTAATAGTTATATAAAAAATTATGACTAAAGTACTTGTACACCAAGATTGAATATTTAACTATCTCCCATGACCGAACTTCTTTCATACACAAATACAAGATTACAACAATAAAAAAAAGAAGATAAACCTTCCATAAAAATTTAATTTAATTTTCAACATTACAGTTAACAAGAAAGAACAAATTCATTTTTAATTTAACACAACGAGGACACGAAAAATATCGATCAGGCCTCTGTTTTAGATTTACCCGTTTGTTTACAATCTAACATTTCCTCGGTTTTATATAATTTAATATTATTTGCAAGAAATGTTGGCTGCTTTTGGCTCACAGTTTCCAAGAATTGCCAATTAACGGCCACGTGTAATTTGAATGAACGATTGGTTTGTTTATTCGCTGGTATTATATATTCTGGCCTCGTCTATAGTCGATCGTTTCATTGGAGAACAATGTGTCTTGAATTATAACGTTGCGGCGCAACTTGCTCGGAAACTTCATGCTTCTGTAACCAATGTCATATATGAAAAAACTAATAATGAAGGGTGACTTTTGCATCATTGATACCACGGTGATTGATTATGATATTATTATTACTATTGTACGGAATAATATTTTATATGGTTGTAAAATCGTTTTAAACAAAATGTACACAATAACGTGAGGTTTCGAGAATGAACTGTTCTACACATGAAGAGAAAAGAAGAAACACACAAATGATAGAGTGGTTATGAATCAATAAATTAATTTAATTATAGTTTATGTATGAAATAACACACATTTTTATCACTCATCTTAACTCCTACACATATAGACATATGTATTTTCTTCTTTTTAATTGTTTAGATTGAGAATTTTATATGAAAACCAAAAGAAGATCTTGAATATACCGTGATAAGTGAATAAATACGCCGTTTGGGTTCAAGCATATATTCAATATGGAGCGCCGATAGTGAACATATTAATATAATTATTTGAACATGTCTACTTATAGCGTTCATCTAGTGTATCGTTAATAACCACGTAGGTGATACGACATTAAACTCATATTAAATCGTTAACAAAGAAAGACGTTAGCATTTGCTCAAAAGCGGAGCGCACCGCGTCGAAAAAGTTACAAAGATAAAAACACGTTACGAAATAAGTCTCGAAGATCGTGCTTATAAATGTTCATAAAAATTACGCACTTTGCCGTTGTCGTCTACCAACTACCACGACGACGGCCACACCGAGTAACCAATTCGATGCCGAATCACCTGCCCCACTCATGAAAAATTCAGTGTCTCTGCTATTCGAAGTTTCGTTTCGCAGCTCTCGCGTTCGTGAATCCTGATCACAGTGCCGTTGACCAGTGTCATTCAGAGGCTTGACCTTATCAACAGGCAAATC